AATTTGGTATACATTCCGCAAATCCGATATCCAAGTACTTGAAACAATTATCATACACATTTTGCATTAAAGAAATCACTCAATTCTGACTTACATAAAACAGATCCAATGTACTCTACAATAGAAGATAATTAGAAATACTTTAGAATGATGCTACCCAAAATTCCAATTCGTTAACCTATTCAAAGAATAAAATGTATACAACTATTTATGATCAACAAAATATGATCCCATAGAAAGATTTGAACGGATTCTAAAAATTAAGTTTGAGTGAAAAAATATGAAATGAATGATTTTTAAATGAATAGATCAACAAGTCTCAAGCAGTTAAGAATAATTGAAAATGCACTTAGATTGATCAAAATACTCGGAAATTTTTGGACCAAAACTCAAGATTGCATACAACAGGTCTTTACAGAAACTGGAATGCATGGATCATTTTTGCCTTTGCAGAAAGAAACTGAATTATGATTTGTTTCGAATCTTCATGCTGCTGCCTGCGCATGCTAAAAGGTCGTTTTACAGGAGATAACAATGAAAAATGTGAAGTCATTTCTCTTTATTTAAAGTTGAATTGTAAGCCATAAAGAAATTAAAAAAAAAAAACAATTGCACAGAGAGTGTTAAAATTTAAAGTGTTAGCCATCGCCATTAGTTATGTCGCACTTCCACTTACGATAACTTAGCTCATCTTACCATGAAACAACGGACAATACAACATTTCTTTGAATTTACACTATTTCACACGTCGTCGTCCAGGTTATCGTGAATTTTAACTTATATTAGAAATCTTGACAAATGCCTCCGTGCAAAATATGATTGGATAGTTTTTAGCCACCCTCATCAAATATGTCAACTTTAAATGGTCTGTCGTGTTCACAAAAAAGTTTAATTCGGTGGAGTGATAGGTCTAGAATTGTGCTATGTAGTTGTCAAATTAATCAGCTATGTAAAGCTCATACAGGCTACAGTTACCGGTCCATAAGTGAAGAAACAATTCAGATAATTTAGTACCCTGGTTTTGACAATTTGGGAATTATATACCGTAGTATAATATGTAGGTGTTTGTTCAATTTTCGCACATAGGATCATCATTCGCCTATCATTTTTGACTTTGAAAATGTAAAGCATCCTAGATGTCAAACTATCTATAGAAGGATTATTATTTAGATACCAATCCCCTATTCACGATAGACGGGAGTTGTAATATACACTGTTGAAGTGACATGTTGCTACGTCCACGGTGGGGAAATGACATGACAATACCACATGTTGTTACGCCCAAAGTGAATATTATAAATCTGTCAAGGAAAATTCCCTGGATGCTGCTGTGGCAGCATCCTGTCCATCTGTATTTTTTTATTTTTTCTCAAAGTTTGAATCTGCACTGTTGATTTCAAAAATCTGTAAAAATTCGGTAAAAATTCCCTGTACTTATAGCTCAACTCATCTGTCAATTATGGTCAAAAGATCAAACCCGTATTTAACTTCATTTCTTTATTGATATTATTGAAAACTCTACAATTTTTAACAAAGATTGAATAGGGTGTTGACGTGGCAGCACCCCATTAGTCCCTTTTTTCTTTTTTTCCCTTCCAATGCTAACTTGCCAAGTGTATATTTGTTAGGGAATTATTGAGAGTAATTACCCAAAACCCAAGCCCACTCCACCGGTCCAAGTGAGGTTCCATCCCAAAACCAATTAGTAATGGGTGGAGTAGCCCACTTGGATTATATGGTGGATTTCTTTTCTTCTCCCAACCGATATGCGACTTCTTGTTTGCTCACAACAACCCTCCCCTCAAACGAAGGACCACATCATTGTGGCCTCCCCTCAAACCATAATC